GGGAAGTACCCATAAAACTAAATTAAATTCACTCTACATACATCAGAAACATGCATCAAGATTAATTTATAATAAAGATAAATTCACTCATGCCGACCCTTTACTTAACAATTTGAATGCATTAAATATCTATCAAATAAATATTTACCAAAATATCTTATTCATGCTAAAATATAAACTCGGACTTGTTCCGAAATACTTTACTGATAGCTTTTTTTATATCAACGCAAACAAATATATCACACGAGGAACAGGCAACTTCACCTGGCCTTTAAAAAAAAACAAAGTTCTCGCGATTCTCTTTAATATACCGTGGCCCATACTTACATAACAAAATAATACTTCAAAATATGGAACTGAATAAAATGGATAACCTTATTGCTCTGAAAAAAAAAACTAAAACAAATCATAATTAACTTAACCAACTTCATCGAAATGTATTAAACAATTGGGGAAAAATAGTAATAATAAAAAGCCCTACTACTTCTACTATACAGTAGATACCAAAATACTTATGTGTATTTGTTGAACTAGATGAAAAGACTATTTTAGTCTTCTGTTATTTTAAAGAATAGTGTTACAAAAAGCAAATAGTATAATTATTTACCGAATTTTTATGAATTCAACGAACTTCGTCAATGCTTTTTGTTGACGTCTTGTTTAAAATAATTCTTCAAAATATGCGGTTAGAATTTTTATGCGGTTAGAACAATTTGTTGTGGGACATGTAAAAAGTGGGTTCACAAAACCTGCCTTGAGATGAATGACGAACTTTTAAATCAATGGAAAACCCCGAAAATGAGTTTTTTTTGCCAGCTCTGTTGTCATGTTGGAGATGAATTTGATTGGAAGAAAAGTCTTACAAGGTATTTTTTAGTAATTATTACTATATATTAAGATTGTATAAAATACAGGGTACCCATGGAGACAACTACCAGCAAAGTAAAGCAGGGCTTTTAAAAATTTATTAAAGATTTTAATCTATTAAAAATGTTATTGTACAATCGTTTCAAACTTTCATTCAATAAAACAAAAAGTGCATGTATATATGTACAACCGGCATTTTTTTTGTTTTTAATACTGACTTATTTTAGATTAAAATCTAAGCCAATTTCAGGTCAATGTTTGATCGAGCGTTTATTGCTGAAAACATATATTGTTACTCCACAACCTCGACCATCAGATCTCATTCCAGGTTTGGAAGATTTAATATCCATTTCTCTAATCAACAAAATGCAACCTCAAATTCTGCAGAAATACACACGAAGATCTACAATTGGTGACGGCAACTGCCTCTTCCGGACTGTGTCACTAGCTTTATATGGTGTTAAAGATCATCATTTGTATCTCAGGGTTCTTACATCCATTGAGGTGATACAGCAAAGAAGTAAGATATATTATTTATATGGATTATTTAAGTAAATATGGTTTATAAAAATAAAAATTGTATTACCTGGTCATTCCTCTTATTGGTTTCGAATAAATAATAGTAAGAATCCACAATCGTGGAAAAGTAACTTGCATTTATTTCAAAAGCAAGGTAGACTATTATGGAACGCTCCATGATATAAATTGCATATAAGAATGTATAAATGTTTATTTTTAGATTGCTATGACTTATCATCCAAAAAATATGCACAAATGATCACGGACACCAGAATCGAAACACCAACGTATCAAGTGTTGTTGCGTTCTGCCGTGTCAATTGGCGGATATAGTCAACTAATGCATATTTATGCATTAAGTGCTGCTCTTGCAACGCCAATTCGCTCTGTTTTTTCTGCTGATAGCAGTTTTTGCGATTTTGCACATCCTTACAATGTAGTTGTTTATGGACGAGGAGTTAAAAAGTCATTGGATCCTGAAATTGCAGTCTCTGTGGACTTGTGCCAGTGAAGAAACAAAAGTATACAACCATATTGTCTATATTGCCAAGCGTCTACCTGCAAGTGAGATTGACTTCAACATTTTGATTAAATAACAAAATAAATTATTCTTACAAAGAACGTATCTAAGTCAACCAAAATACAAAATCAATATAGGGTAATGCGGGGCGAAAAGTCACAGCGGGGCAATACGAGACAGTTCGCGTTTAACATAATGCCAGCTCTACAAATTATTATTTGCAAGATTTTTAAAAGTGCAGTTGCGTTCAAAAACTATTTTGTGTCAAGAAAAATATATTGAGTCACTTTGAAATAAAAAAGTTGAGTAAAAGGGGAGTCATTTCATCCCTCGGCTTTGCGAAAATTACGAATTTTTAAGAGTTGTTATTATATTTTTAAAAGTATACAATCATATTGTCTATATTGCCAAGCGTCTACCTGCAAGTGAGATTAACTTCAACATTTTGATTAAATAACAAAATAAATTATTCTTACAAAGAACGTATCTAAGTCAACCTAATTGGGGTTGATCGAACTTTTAATCTTGGAGAAGTGTATGTCACTGTTACAGTATTTAAGATGCAGGTTGTAGTCTGCAAAGAGCTTCAATTGAATCCAATCTTTATTTCGCCATCGTTCCTGCATGGTGATGCATTTGATGGTACATACGCCCATTTCTTCACACATTTACGAAATAAATTTAAGGAAGTGTCATGCAAAACTAAAAATTTTATTTTCGGAACTGATCAAGATAAAAGCTATGATGTCAGCAATAAAGTTTGCTTTTCTAGAATCCAATCAGGTCTTGTGTATCCAACACATAAAACAAAATGTGGAGTCATGTCTGGCAGACAAAGTTGGACTAGAAAAAGAAATGCGTCAAGTTGTTATTAACGGTTTGTTTGGAAGTCAAGGTGCAGTGTTGTCAGACGATTCGATAGTATTTGAAGTATGAATTAGGTTTGTCCAAAACATCTGCAAAAACAAAAAAGGAGACAAATTTCTAAAGTATTTAGATGAACGTCTTGTCCCGATACTTAAGGAAAATATGATAAGACCTCGTCTGGAGAGAAAAGTCCAAGATAATTGGACAAACAATAATGCCGAATCAGCCAATCATATTCTGAAATGTGCAGTTAACTGGAAACCAAAACCACTAATGGAACTAATTACAAAAATTTGGAGTCTAGTACAAGTTCAACAAAAAGTAAGTGATATGTTAATGCTATTTACAACTTCATAACATACATTGGTAAAATCTTTTTTTGTTTTACAGGATCTGCAGCGAGCTATTACTGGCACAGGACCATTTACTCTGATACAAGAATATCAACAGCATGTTATTTTTCCACAACAATGGTCACAGATTTCAACTGAAGACAGACATAAAGCAATGAAAAAGGTTCTTATCGGTCAATAATTTAAATAGATTAAGTTTATTTCAGTTAATTCTTACGTTAATTTCTATGGGAATCTTTATAAATTTATTTTTACATTAATTTTTTTAATGTTTCCTTGTTTAATAACCTAAATATTTTATCTATTAAGTTATTGTAATTAAATAATAATAAAATGTAAATTGCTATAAAAAGTTTTTAAAACAACCAGAAATTATTTGGTCTTATCATAAAAAAGCACGAGTGCTTAAGTAGTGCAATTTTAAAATTTACTATTTTTAAGCTACATATTTTAACATATGAACTTTTCCCCTGGCTTTGAAATGATTAATTTTATATATTACATGTTATGTGAGTGATCTTATATAAACTTAAAATCACTCAAAGATGAATTTAGAATGCATTGTAAATCACTCAAAGATGAATTTAGAATGCAAAGTCTAGTGTCAAGAATCCTACTAAACATAATCTCGAAACAATCCAGGGACTAAATAAAGCTCATGTAATTTTAAAATCAAAAAGAACAGAACAGTTTATAGTAAAATGCCTGGTGAAACTGCAGAACTTCTTTTTGGAGATAAATGTGTACATAAAAATAGCTTTTAAAAATCTTCACTAACGGCAGTTGAACATGTATTTTCAGTTATAAATACAACGAAAATTTCCGTATTTGAAAAATTAGCTACAAATACGGAAAATTTCCATACATAATGGATGGATACATCCATACATACGGATACTTTCCGTTGGGCATACGGATACTTTCCGTTAAAATAATGGAATACATTTCCGTTTTTTTAACGGAAATTTTTAACAGTGTATATGAGTCTGCAAACGATGGTCTTGAAAATCTAAACGGCAGGTTTAAAGTAAACAAATTATCTTTAAATACAGAAAAAAAACTAAATACATCTTGTTTCATTCTGAACAGCAGAAAAATAATATACTATGCTACCATTATTAAATATTGATAACATAAATATAAAAGAACTGAAATAATTAAATTTTATCGGATATTTATTGACAAAAAGATTTGTTGGAAAACCTAACTGAAAAATTAAATATAAAAATTCAAAATTATTGTTGTACTCGAGCCTAGTGCTGCCCGTTTTTGCCGAATCTATTATTTTTATTTTGGTCTTAAATATTTTTTGTAAATTTTGACAATCGGTTACTGAATAAATAAACTTTTATATTATGTATTAGAGATATCATTTAAAAAAAATTTTTATGATAGCCTTTGACGAGTATTTATACAATTGATATAAGTACTTTAAGATTACAGAAAATGCGATGTTGAACGTCTGAAAGACGTCCTACGGACTTGCGACGTCTATAAGACATCGTATCAACGTTCCAGGGACGTCTGTACCCGCTAGGTTTCAAAAGCATTCAATCGATACCACGAAAACTTATTTTACACGTTTCTTGAAAAACTACTTATTACTTTATCATAAGGTATTAAAATACTTTTTTCTTACTTTATCATAAGGTAGTATTAAAATACTTTTTTCTTACTTTATCATAAAGAATTATTGCAAAAATTTCATATTAAATGGTATTTTGTTGAGAGAAAAATATTTTCTGTAGCTAATTTTTTTTCTAAAATTCCAAATATATTTGCTATAATATTCAAAATAAAATTTAAGTTTTTATGCGCAGTTTTTTTAAACTTTGTCTACCTATTAGCCCATTATTTGCTAAATGACGTTAGTGATAAATTTAAAAGTTCTTTCATTAAATAAAAAAAATATTTATACATAAGTAATACATGCTTACTAAAAATTGTTAGCCCTGCATACAAAAAGCTAATGTTATTGCTTTGAATCTGTTGATATCATAATTGCGGCAGAAAATTAACGTAATTTTTGCGCTAACAATTTTTGAATGACAAACTCAATTGTAGTTTCACGTAATATAGGTACAAAAAAAGTGTCAGTAATTTCGTTTTTTTCAACATTGTTTACGCTTTCTAAAAAGCAAATAATTTGTTGTCGAATATTTTCAATCTTTTCATTGTGCTGGAGATCATTGATTATATATTCTAATTCTTCTTGTATTTGACATCGAGTGTATGATACAGCGTTTCTGTCGTTGAGCCCAGGAGTATCTAAATGGAAAGCGAAAAAAACGTGTTTAAAGTATGTTATGAAACAAAAAATTCCGCAAACAAAACGATGTTTTTGTATGATAGATGCAAGTAAAAAGTAACAAAGAAAACGTTGGTAATCCTCAGTAAATCCTTAGTAGGATGCTTTTTTGTCTTTTTTTATTACATAAATTTACAATTTTTTTGTATTTATTTTCATATTTTGCAAAGCCTCTAAATTTTGTTTTGACATGTGCCATTAGTGCTTTGGTATGATTTTCTTCTACTTTTTAATTTTTTGGTTTTCCAAAAATTATTTTGCTTGTTTGAAGTTTTATTGACAAGTTACACCTAATATTAGCCTCAAATTGCTTTATGGATCCTTACTCATTGTTTAAGTTTTCTTGCCAAATTTAATGTTGTAATAATTTTCACATTTAATTATGTCTTTAGCATAATTAAACGAGGCTAGATGAGGCAAATATAACAAAGGAATAATATCAACCTAATCTAATGGAAATAAACTTTTTTTTTAATTGTGTCATTTGTTTTAAATAACTGTGTGTATTGGCCACAAGTACAGATGACCACACCAGGTATTTTTTTAACAAACTTTATGAGGCACTTATATTTATTTTGTGACAATAAATTTAAGGCTTGCATAACTAAAGTACAGCTGTGGTAGTTGTTTTAGCATTCACTTATTTTTCATCTATTAAAATTCGTCTTTTAAACTTATTGGAAACTTAATGAGGAAATTTTTGATAACGTTTTTTAGTTTATCTATCTTGAGCATCATTCCGATTTGGTATTGCTTGTGCTTTGTGTGTGTAAGTCACGTTCTTATTTAAGTAAATGTACCAAAAATGTAGAAATATTGTGTTTTTTAGAAAGATCATGAACTGAAAAGCCTAGAATACGCTTGTGGAACATTATTGCTTTACTTGCCACTATTTTATTAGTAAAACTTTTTTTTCGACCATCACCTTTTCTACGACGGAAGCTCATGCTCTTCAAAATCTTTAAGATTATATTAAGTAGTTTCACGTAAAGCATTTACACGCCATCACGTACACACCTGTCAATACCTGAATATGTTTATTAGAGAAAAAAACACGCTTTTTATGACTCATGTGGGGTAGAATGTAAAGATTGCTTTTATATATAAGTATATGTAAAAAAAGTATCAAACTTCTATTTTATTTATTATATATCAGTAACTTCTATTTAAAATTTCGCCACATCAAAAACGTTTAATGAAGACAAACTTTATCTTGATGTTAAATCATTCACTTCTGATCTGTAGATCAACAAGACCACCAATGCTGCATACATTGCCAGATTGCACACTACATTAATTCGAATTTTCAAATGAAGCATTTTTTGATCACTTTAGAACACTTTGTTTGCAAATATTCATCGGAAGAAATAGCAAATAGATTGTTTGCTTCAATGAAAAACTAAGCTTAAAACAAAATGTCCGCACAACAATAACATACAATGGTGTTTGTAAAGAAATTTGATTAAAAAAGGCTGGAAGGCTTCTCAGGGCTTAAAGAACATTCAAACTGCCAAAGAATCAAAAATTTTAGGTGTCACAATTATAAAACTAGTTTAAAGTTGCGCAACAAGACGGAACAGTGAACTGCATCAATTACCAACTAATGCGTCTGCCATCAAATTTGTAGCAGAAAAATATTTTTCATAAAAGTTAGTAAACAAAGTACCAGATTAAGATTAGATTGAGCAGTTAAGAAACTATTGAGCAAGAGAATAGCTGAGAAACTATTGAGTAAGAGAACAGTAGAGAAACCATTGAGTAGGAGAACTGTTGAGAAACTATTGCGTAAGAGAACAGCTGAGAAACTATTGAGTAAGAGAACAGTTGAAAAACTATTGAGTAAGAGAACAGTTAAGAAACTATTAAGAAAATTTGAAGAGCTCTCCAGCCCTGCAAGTGCAGAAAACGAGGTCTCAATAGTCCATGTAATTCCGAAAATCTTTGATCTGGAAGACGAAATACAGTCAATAATACATGATTCACCCAATCTTATGATGAAAGAATTTGTTGATTGATACTTGTAAAAAATTAATGACAGGTTTCCCAAAAGTGAGGTTCAAGTTTTAGAATAGGCATATGTAAACATTTTGGATCCATGCTACAAAGGATCAACAATATATAGCATTAAGAAAAAAATACTACATAATCAAGATATCCTTGAAAGAAGCTGTGTTCAACATGTGAAAAGTCACCCTGTAATGTAGCTTTTTACCCAGCACATGACAACCCCTCATTGATGACTCACAATAAGACACAATGACACATTCACAGGCACAAAAACAATGCAGGAACTGGATACTTAAGAAGGTCTTACAAAGTTTGAAGGTTCATACATTTGAAAAAGTAGTAACCCTGAAGGAAAGACCTGTTTGTTAACGGAGATCAATGTGAAGTAAGAAAACTATTTAACAATAACCAACTGTGTTAAATGGGGGTATTCGTTATTACTGAAAGAACCAATCATTTAAGTATTCTTAACCTGTCCGCTTCACCAGGAGAATAATTGCATCTCCAACTGTTTTCTCCAGCTCTGAACAAGTGTTTTCCACAGCTGGAAATATTTTTGGTAATTGAAGAACAAATCTCTCAGCACCCAAAAAGTAATTGAAATTTTCTGTAAATTATTTTTTGTAATTATTATAGCACAATAGAAATACTCAATAGTTTCTAAGTTGAATCTAACTACTTTTGACCTATTTTTATTCTTTCGATACGTTGTTTAATAATGCATTTTTGATGTATCTTTAGCGATGCATTGAACACGATGCATTGACCATATTTAAGATGTACAATAAAATGTACCGCTCCCTAAAAAAGAAGGCTGCCGCAATCCTTGTGATGGCCTCTAAATTTAAGTTTACATGTTAAAATTTAAAGTTAGAAAAACATCTTTGGACAAAAGAAATTTTAATAATACCGAAATTATCTTCATAAAAATCACAGTACTACAATAAAAATATTTTGTTAAAAATTTATTTTTATTATCTTTTATACTAACAGATTCATGTAAACACACTAATGGAACGCTAAAAGAGTTTCTGAAAAAGAATTGTTTTATGAAACACACATACTTGTTGTATGAATATTAAACGCGTGGTTTAGACAAGCTTTTAAAAGCATGCTTTATTTAGCCTACAGTTATTGTTCATAATTATTTTTAAACTATAAATTTTAAGTACTGTAAGCGTAGTTTTATTATTTCTTATGTTTAAGATAAACTTGAAGAAAAACAAGAAGTAGATAAATGCTATACAAAGCCAACTTTGTATAGCATTTGTAAATAAATTATTATGATCTATTATTAGCTTTTTTTAATTTTTTTGATCTATTATTAGCTTTTTTTAATTCTTTTGGTTTTGTGTGATATAGATTTGCAAAGTTCATATGCAACATTAATAATATAATAAAGTCTTTTAGACTAAGTTGATGTTGTATTCTAAATGTGGGGGTAATCTTTGACTTTGGAAATAGTTTGACAAGTTTTTAGAAAACCATAGTCTAATTTAACCAAGTAAAACTAAATTTAACCAAGTAAAACTAAATTTAACCAAGTAAAACTAAATTTAACCAAGTATAACTAAATTAGATTTTTATGATTTAATTAAGTAAAGACCTAGCGCCTACTTTTATCTTGGGTACAAAAAATTTTACCCATAATTCTGACAAAATCCAAGAAAATATTTGACATATATAACCTAAATGTATATAAATTAAAATGGTTAACACTTTTTTCTGATTTTTAGCATTAATATTTTTAAAACGTTACCAACATAAATATTTAAGACGTTGATAAACAAAATAGTATGTACCTGAATCAAATAAAGTAATTATCTTCATGTTATCATAAATTTTTGTTGATGTCTTTATTGCTGAGTTTCCATTTAAAATTACTTCTTTTAGTTTAGAAAATGTTTGCCAACTAAGCATTGGTTTAATACCATCATGACTGTTGTTGGCTAAAAATAACAACGTTGAAATAGGAAACATTGATGAGCATTGGGCCAATCCAAGAATAAAAAGAGAATACCATTTATCAACTAGCAAATTTAACTGATCGGTTTTATTAAGCTTACGAAACGCTATTAAATGCTGAACCCAGTCAATTGTTACGAAGAGTAATCTGGTTGCCATCTCGTACAAATACCCAACATCTGTTGTAGGAATAGAAGGAGGTTCAACGTAAAAACTTTTATATTGCCCTGATTTAAAGATTATAGGCGGAAATTCACCTTCATTTTTAGCGCCAAGATTTTTGTAACTGTCTAATAATCGCACATTTTCAACTTTATTTGAAGACTTTTTTGGTGAAAAACGATCTGATCTATCTACTTTATTTGTGCTTTGGTTAAGTACTTCGATTTCTTCAATATTATTGTTTTGTTTTGTTTCGTTCACTTTGTTGTTAGGAGAGTTAGTTCTTTTAAAAGAAACTTTAGAATCTTTCTCAATTTCTGCTTGGAGGTAGTTATTTACGTCTTTTTCTTCTATACACTGAAAGATTTCATTTTTTGTTGTCTTATTTAGTTGGGTATAAGTTAAATTTTCTTCTTCGCTGTCTTCAGAACTAGTGAGATAGTCCAGACCAACAGTTTTGTTCTTCAATCCCATTCCATCTTTAAAAGATGTGATAACTAAAGCTGCAGGTTTGCGTTCGCACTGGACAGCTAAAAAAGTTATAAACTAAATAAACTACTAATTGCTAAATATAAACTGTGGTTAAAGAAGTTCAGTTATTTAAATCTAGTTTGAGGCAAAACAAAAATACTTCAGTGAATATAAAGCATATTCTGCTTTATCTTTTACTAATGAAGACAAATCTTATTATTTTTCACAACAAATCATATAATAATAAACGTGTTGTATTTAATGAAAAAAGTTAAAAAGTACTACGAATAAACAATTAAGTTCAGCACAACGATTAGTTAAGTTGCAACTGCATACATAGTAAGGTAAAAAAGAAAGAGTTAAAAATAAAAATTCAACTGCTCTCTACTATAAACACACGGTGTTATGTATTTTAAACATTCTATCATATATGATATTTTTGAACGTAAAAATAAGACAACAGCAGGGTTTAATTTGTCGGAAAAAAAAAACTCAGCCATTACTTGACGTCATATTATAGGCAAAATGACATTGCATGACCAATTTATTAGTCAAGCAATTGAGCTTAAATAACTTAATCATTGCAAGATCTATGAAATTTGTTATATAATTTCATTTATTCAAATTTAATTATTCTTACTTAAATTCCACCACCGTGTTTGATGTTAAAGAGAAACAATAAACCAATTTATATAGTTTTTATTGCTTTAAAGCAAATTTATCTCCGAATACAATAAAACTTTTATAAAATATCGCTTTCAAGCTACTCACAATGTTTTCTCAATTTTGTGCGGGCACTTCGCTATAGCCTTTGGACGATAGCTTCAGTAAAATTTCACGATGCTTTACAAGATGCAATTTTGTCTTTCTTACCATTGATATCATTCTTCTCAGGCCAAATGATAGGACAAGTCATTATGCATTTTTATCATAAACAAGTTGCTTTTTAAAACATTCTTTCAGGTAAACATTCTTTCAGGTAAACTTACATAAATTAGTTAGAAAATTAACTAGAATATTTTGAAGGAGGGAGCACTTTTTTTAAAGGCGCTAAATGGGTATACAAATTGCTTACAATAATTCAAAATGGAGAGAATGATCTAATTTTAACGATTAAATAAATATTTTTTTCAAGAAATCAGTGACCCATTTGTCTCACCCGTGTTGCATTTGCTAAAATAACTAATAAATTAAATGAATATTCCAAAATTTTAATTTTATTAACCAACTCTGATTTTTATTATTGAAGTAAATATTCTATTTCAACAATTGAAAGGCGCAAAAAAGAAGAGGCGGCGGGAGCGGGTGCTCATCTGTGCTCCCCCCCCCCCCCTATATGCGGCCTTGGATACATATTTATATGTAATTTAATAATTTTTCGATTCGACACTTGTATACCGAGTTGATTATTTGATATTACAATAATAGAGTTTCAAATCATGTAATAAAATTTTTTGTTGTTGTAAGCGCCCATTTTTATTTTTAAAGTTTGTTCTACCAGATGAGGGGTAATGACGCCGAATTACTATTTTACTTTTGAAACAAAGTCTCTAAGGTTATTTTTCTTGACATTACGTGCCAAAGACAGGATTATTGCTTTGTTTACTCATGATCATTTCTCATTTCTACTTTGCTCCTCTAACGTTTTTACCTCCAGAATACTTATTATGACCTGGAAATTAATTAAAAGCACAATTAAACAATAATTATGACCACTTTAACTTCCATAATATAAAGAATTTTAAGTTATTAAAGCTTCAGTAAACTATATCTTCAGTCAATTCCAACTCTAAAAATGGTCTAAACCGTGTAGAGAGCAGATTTCTTTAACAAGTCTGGTGAGGTCTTTAGTATACAAAAGATTTTTCAACATTAAGTTATCAAGTTCAACTTCCTTTTCATTTAGAAATGCAATAATTTAACCGTAGTAACTGAGTACTTTTAAAAACCAAGTTATAAAATCCCATACAATTTGAGTTGTCTTAAATAGAAACTTTAGAATAATTGAGGTTATGTACTTTGACATCTTATCCTTGAAAAGAGATCTTAGAATTTTGAACAGCAGGTGTTCTTGTGCATTGATGCGTAATGCGCTTTCCAACTAGTTGAAAGTAATCAGCCAGAATGAGTTTTTAAACTCATTCTGAGCTGATCTACTACATAAAGTTTTTAACTTAAAAGATTATATCATTTAGAAAAAAATATTATTGATAATATATTTATCTATCATTAAAAAAAAAAGTGTAGAAAATTCTGAGTTGGAAGTTTTTAAACTTCCAACTCAGGTAAAAACTCAGAAATTTTCTACAATTTTTTTAATGACAGATAATTAGATTATTAGTAATATTTTTTTACTAAATTATACTTAATGATATAATCTCTTAAGTTAAAAATTTTGTGGCTGCCATTATCTGATACCATACAATTATTTGGACATAAGCTTTGATCATTAGTTGGAGCAATCCCACTAATATTTACAAGTAACTCTTTCCATCTTTTACGATTACTAGTTTGTATTTTTAAAGAAATATGTTAGAAAAACTTAATTATAATAAATGTAAATATAAAATATAATAAACTCAATTTGTATAGAGACAGTTTTTGCTATGGAAGCCCAGTGAGAAATGCTTTAATTTCAAAACTGAACCCTTTCAAATACAAAGAGTTGAAATAATAAAAATGATTTATTATTTTAAACATTATTTTCTGGATTTCATAAAATATTAATATTTTAGGTTTATCAAAAAATTAATATTTCATAAAATTAATATTTTATGAAATTTTTTAGGTTCATAAATTTATAAGAAATAGAAAACTTATTGAAGATCTTGCTCAGAAGTGTATTACCAATTTTGGCAAGCAATTAAGAGGAAAAGCTAAACATGTTTGAAAGAATCTTTTAATTATGTATTACTATGTCTTTCTATGTATTCTTTTAGATACAAATTACAAATGTAAATAGAACTCACAAATTAAACTTTTATTGTTAAAATATAATATCTTGTATTGGTGTTACCGGTAAATTAAAAAAGTTTACCGGTAAAAAACTTGATCCAAATTTAGGTATTTACCGGTAAACCGGTGAACTGATAACCAGTATTACAATCCCTAATTGAAAGTAAGTAATAGTAAAGTTGCAAGTAAGTCAAGTGCAAACAAAAAAATGTTTTTCAATTATTATCTGAGTTTCATCTGTTTAAAAACAAATCAAGATAATTGATAAAAGTCAATTTAATCATAATTTGTTTAAAAAAAAAGTTTATTTATAAGCGTTAAATATATTTATATACAGTTGCGAAAAATAAAATAGCACCACTAAGCGTATTTTCCTTTTTGTTAAAAAAATACCGTGCAAAATAAAATTTTTTATAACTTTACTGTTTAAAATTTTAGCTAACATGTTTATTTTCTAAAACAAATCATTTTGGGCAAAAAACTGCTTGGTGTTGCTCGATTTTAATCAAAAATGCCAATTCTGACCGAAAAATAAAATAGCACCACACACTCTTTTGTTGTAAAATACTCTGATAATGGTAAAAATAATTGTGAAAATAGCAAGCGTTGGGTTTAATATTGCTGTTTTGTTCGTTTTATGTTAGTGCGTTTTAGTAGGAGACATTTACATATAAAAATGGGACGCGGAAAGCATTGTAGTGCAGAAAAACGAGAACTGATCCGAAAGTTGATATCAGCAGGGAAATCTTATAGAGAAGTTGGTCGTTTAGTTGAGTTTTCCTATAAAATGATAAGAAATGATAATGCCATAAAATTTCAAGAAATGATAATGCCATAAAATTTCAAGAAAAGATGCCCATATCATTATAGTATAATGATATGGGCATGCTTTTCTTATTACGGAGTAGGGCCCATTCATCACATTACTACTATTATGGATCAATATGTTTATTTTGATATATTGGATAAAGTGATGTTGCGTATGCAGTCTATGAAATCCCGTTGTCAAAGAGTGTTCCAACAGGACAATGACCCAAAGCACACTAGAAAAAAGGCGTTGAATTGGTTTGAGGAGCATAAAGTACACGTTATGGAATGGTCAGCACAGTCGCCAGATCTTAACCAAATCAAGAATTTGCGGGCTGACGTAAAGGAGGTGGTTGCTGTTGCCAAACCCACCACGAAGGAGTCACTTAGGAACGTAGTTAAGGATACATGGTGCGAAATTCCGCTAAAGCGATGTCAGGACTTGGTTAACTCGATGCCAAGACGTTGTGTAGCCGTCATTGCCAATAAAGGTCACGCTACAAAATACTCATGTGTTAAGAAATAACTAATATTTATTGTAAAATGTTTAAAACAATTGATCTCATTATATTTCCTTATTTTAAACTACACATTAAAGCTGTGGTGCTATTATTTCTTTCGTGTTTTATTTGATTTTTTTTGAATTTTTGTTTAATAAATGAATACTATATATTAAAACTTGTACATTTTGTTTTTTATAAAAATTATAAGCCATTTTACTTTTAAATATGTAGGGGAAGTGGGGGCATAACCGCCCCCGTAACGTTTGGAATAATGTTATATGAAAATAAAAACGAAATGTGTTTTTTTAGCAGTTTATTTCAATAACCACATCATTAAGCTTTAAATTGATGCATTTAAGAAAAAAATTAAACAGGTTTTGAAAATGTTATTACACAAAATTACACTTAGTGAAAAAAACGGTTTTGCTCCCATTGTGAGGCACAACCGCACCCTCAAAAAAATCAATGGGGCTACACCTTTCATGGTACATTTTTTTTACAATTTTCACAACTCAGATGATTTGATGATTTTGTTGCATGTTTGCATATTGTGCAGGCATTCTTTGTGTTTACATTTTGAGTTCTGCCCCAGAAGAGAGTTCTACCCCAGAAGAGAGTTTTTATAAAGAATTCAGTTTCATAGATTAATTATTAGATTATGGTATTATCAAAAATGACTTTCATCTCATGTAATAATGCTGTTAACACATATTTTTAACACTAAAATTAAATATTGCTTAATTCTCAAAAAGAAGGTCAGGAAAAATATGATGTAAATATAATATTTTTATCAAAATAAAAATTATTATTCACAACTTCTCAGAAACTTAACAGTCACTCTTTTTGACAAATGCAAAATGAAGGAAACTGTTTTACTAACGCGTGGTATGTTTTTTGCCATGTTAAATAACATTTTTTTAAAGAGAAATGTTAAAAAACGGTTGTGCCTCCATATGCGGTTATGCCCCCACTTCCCCTATTTAAAAGATTTTCAAACTATCAAAAATAATTAAAAATTCTAATTTCAACCAAATTTTGGTGGTGGTGCTATTTTATTTTTCGCAGCTGTATATATATATATATATATATATATATATATATATATATATATATATATATATATATATATATATATATATATATATATATATATATATATATATATATATATATATATATATATATATATATATATATATATTAATCTTTTTATTAAATTCCTTGAGATTGCATAGTTTCCAGCCATGGTTTACAGATGGTGTTACCATTACAAAAATCAAGTTGCTATTTTTTTTTGCTTTTATCGTTTTATTTTTTTACCTTTTTATCAATTTGATACTTAAAGTTTAATATCAAGTACACTTTGTTAATAATATAAATACCTTCTTTTCTCATTCCAACTTTAAGACATTTCTTTAAACGACATGCTTTGCATCTTGTTCTTTGATCTTTGTGCACAAGACATTTTCCATAAGCCGGACACACATACTTAACATTTTTTCGGACACTTCTTCTAAAAAAGTTTTTGCATCCTTCACAAGAGTTTACTTTATAATGTTTCCCTGTTGATCGATCGCTGCAAACTGCGCAATAAATTATTTTGCTATCGCTATCTGCAATGTTAGTATCAGCTAGAGAATTTTTCATTGGATTTTGTAAAGTTGGATCCATTGTTGGCCGTATGCAATCAAAAGATAGCTGAAAGTTTTTTTCTGATAAAACATTGCTTGAACTTTTATAATCGACATTTAAGTTTCTTGCAATTCTAAAATCAAAAAGCCCATATTTCTCTAACGTTAACATATTTTTTTTTATGTAAATGTAAAATAAATATTTTTTACAATATTTTTTTTACAATATATAAATATATAACTGTTATATATTTATTTAAAACAACAGCAGAAACTAGTAAAAATGTTTATATAAATATATATATATATATATATATATATATATATATATATATATATATATATATATAACGTACAATATATAAGTTATTCAACAAGCCGTAATGCTAACCTAAAGATATTCCCATCAGTTGGTTGAACAGACGCCATTATTTTTTATAATTTTGTGGTTTAAAATACGAACGTTTATTCGCATTTTGTGTGATAGTTACAGAACGTGAGTGTGCACTCAACCTTTAATTTATAACTTTTCAAGTGCTTCAGATCAGAGGTGAACATAACAATTACGTTGTATCTAAAGCATTTGCGGTTTGGTAGCTTTCTGTATGATAGCGACATGGTAAATGCTTTTCTTATAACGAAAGGAAGCAGCTAATTTTTTTCGATGATTAATAATATATTCCTTTAGATTTATTTGCACAATTTGATGTGTTCTAAAATTAGGAAACAAAAATATAACAATTTTTAACAATTGTTTTGAAAAAACATTTTGAGTTTAATGTAAAATAATAGAAACTATAATATTAATATAAAAAAATGTATATTAATAATTGAAACATGTATTTATTTTACATATTATAAATTTGCTAATATTTTATATTTACTTCAGAGTAAATCATTATAAAATTTATATCTAAATATACCAAATGGCTATTTTATACATTTGTACCAAAATTTCTTTTTTCTTAAGTTATTTAGATGGCCTGTAATTACGAAAAATTATTAATTTTCCTACTAAAATTTCCTGTTTGTTAAAACTTTTGTCAATATCACAATAGGTTATAAGTATATAATATGAATAATGGCAAGACCGTAGACAATTTTTTTAAGATATTTTAGCTAAGCAACTTTGAAACATGAAAAAAACTCCATATCTGGGTATCTTCATATATATGAGGAATAAAGAAGTTATATAAAAAATTGCGGTGATTGGAGAGTGGGAATAACAAAGCACGAAAATGTCAGCCAAAATTCCCCAAATTCCCTATCCCCAAATATATATCCCCCAAAATAGGGCAATGAGTTTAAACTATTATTTTTTATGCAACCTTAAAATAAATTTGCATTTATCGACAGATTTTAAATTTCATTCATTTAATTTTTCTTTTAGCGTTCTGAAACTTTGAGCGTGTAAAATTTACACCCCCACTCAATTTGAGGGGGGTGTAAACTTTATAAGATCATAAAAACCAAACAGCAAAGGATTATTGAAATAAATGTTAAATTTGTTGATGAATATAAATTAAGTTTAAGATTGAAAAAAAACAAACAACTTTGACTGATTGCCCTAATATTTAGGGCTTGTGGGCTACCGTCATAGGGTTTTTGTTGTTCCCAGTCTCCAATCACAGCATTTTTTTGGATTGTATCCTCTTTCCTCATATATATGAACGTATATATGAACATCTGAAAAAGTTGTCTACGGCTTTACAGCTAAAATACCAGAGGTAGAAGTGATCACAATTTACTTTAAGCTAGTTGTAAATTCAGTTTTAGTAGAGAAAAATTAAGGTTGCGAATTGTTTATTTATTTATTATCATTTTTTTTATCTGATTTTATTTACTTATTTCCAAGCTCTAAAAATAAATTTTGTTGCAACGAAACTCCATACAGAGTAGTGATGTGAGTAAATCAGGTTATAATTTTAAAATTATTTTTAAAAAGATGGTGAACAACCAAACAATCTATAACTAAAAAATTATTTAAGTACCATATGTGGTTGTTAAAAAAATTGCTTCAGCTGTTTTACTGAACACTGGTGTATTTTTTCAACAAACAATTATCACATATTTTCTGACTTTATAAAACAATATAAAACGTTTCAAATAGCAAACTAGCAAGTCGAAAACTGTTCTGCAAATTTGCCGTCACATAGCTTTTGTACTCTTAAGTACTTAATACACGGGAGTAGACGTTTATTATTTTTCATAAAATTTTAAAACCCACCCCGAGCTTATTAAGACCGCAGAGTTTTGAACGAACAAAAAAATCTCTATCTCAAAACTAAAAAAAAAATTTCATTGTAAATCGACTATAAAATTTTGAAAATTAAAACTCTATAAACTATAAAAATAAATGTAAAATTATCACCCACCTGTTTATTAAGACCCCCTTCCTCCCGTTTGTGTGATCTAAACAAAAATTCCCACCCATCCTTTCGTTATCACCCCACCTTGTATAAGGCGTCTAAGAGTACATAGATCGTGAACCTTTCAATATATCCATGACTGGTGTTACAGTATACATATATAATATGTATACTGTAACACCAGAATATGTTAATAAACCTAAGTTTATAACTAAATTATTATTTTTTAATCTTTATTTACAAGTTGCATGTTTGATGGTCCTAAATTTCTTTTTAAAATGTTGTGAAAACCTCTAAACAAAGAAATTCCTAATTTTTATGTGATCAAGTTCATTTAACTCTAGAATCAGTAAGAGAGCCAAATAGCAAAGCAAAGGCAATTAAATGTGATACCAAATAAATATAGTTACCAATTAACTTATCTCCTTTCTTTGGTTGATGGGTACCAATCAAAAAAAAAACTGGCTTGTTTTTTATGTTGGCGATACTGAAGTAGATGCTATGTCTTACCAAAACAAAAAATTTTATTCTTAAATGTCATAAACTGCTCTAAAAAAGAAATTTAATTCAGATTTTGAATATTAAAATTAAAAAATAAAGTAAAGTAATTAACTCTATTTGCTAAGCTTTAACGACTCCTAAAGAAGTGTTACAATCTTAACGCAAACAAAATATCACGTCTACTCTTAAAAAAAGAAAAAATTTCAAAACTTTTAGCTACAAGCTGATTTCTCTCACATATACCGTACAAGATGAAGAAGAGAATTATTATAGATATGATTGTGAAACACTGTTTGCAATCTTATATCAAAGTCTCAACATGGATTTGTACATCACAAAGACTGCCTTACAAACCTATATGAATCCTGTAATATTTTAACGGAAGTAGTATAACACCTGGTAGATATTTTTTACCAACTTTGCCAAAGCAGTCAATACAGTGTCACACAACGACTTCCTTATAAAATTTATGTCTACAGCAATCGAGGCCAGCTATTAAACTGGATCACTGGCTGGCTAGCTAATAAACAATAATGAGTAATAATTGGCGAACGAATGTCCGAGTGGAAAAGGGTGACGAGTGGCTTCCTTCAAGGATTAGTTCTTGCATTACTGCTGTTTTTGTTCTTCATCATTGACTTACCAGAAGCATCAAGAGTTTTGTATTTTGTAAATTGCTCTTCTCAAACGTGTCCAACAACGCGCAAATATTGTTATTTGAACATTTTAGTCACAATAAAAAACTAAAAAACACTAGAGTGCTCGAAGTCACTGCGTTCTTCGAGTGTCTAACAACACTCGAAGAACGCAGTGACTTCGAGTGTTGCATTACTCCAATACAAAATTGCTTATCACATAAAATTAAAATTTGGACTGCTTTAAAACTTCCATTTATTTGGTTGAAAGATAAAGAACCGGTAAAATATAAACCTTGTGAAATAAAAGATATCTGAGGAAGATATTTCGCATCTTAATAGTTTGAAGTAGCCTTTATTTTTCACTTCCAAAAATTTAGGTCTTTCTCAAGCAAATATACTCAAAGGGTCTGTGACATATTTTCCAATCTATTTGCATACTATTTCAAATTTTTTAACGCAACGCCAGTACCTGTTGCAGTAGGTCAACGACCTTTAAGTAATTTTAAATTAATTTGAAACACGTTGAAAAATCTATTTGATAAAACTATATTTATTTATCTATTTATTCAACCCAAAAATGAAAATTACAAGTTTTTTATAATTTTACAAAATTAGGTTAGGTGTCACTCATATAGTTAAAAACTAGTCATTGGAGTGACACCTAAATAAAATAATCAAACAAACAAAAAATTCAACAGCAATATTAATAAATAAAAGTCTATTGTAAAATGATATAAAAATAATAATGATTTCTTCTAGAAAAAAAACAAGAAATAAGCGTTTTTTTTAGTATTGATTTTAAAGAACTTGTTTATTAATCCTAATAAGTGAATGTGATGCATATATTAATAAATAAAAGTCTATTGTAAAATGATATAAAAATAATAATGATTTTTTCTAGAAAAAAAGCAAGAAATAAGCGTTTTTAGTATTGATTTTAAAGAACTTGTTTATTAATCCTAATAAGTGAATGTTGTAAGTGTTGCTAAGTGGTTCTTAAAAATATGGATCTAAATTAACAAAATAAAAAATGAAAAAAGCTCTCATTAACTTATATAATTGTCTGTGCTTTTAGTTTAAAAATATGCATAGGGCGCCTAATTGCTGCTATGCCCCAAGCATCGTGAAAGCTCTTGGTGGCCCTGGCTGATTGAACATGCAGTTTAGAAAAGAACTCCTGCCTGACCCAAGTTTACATATGTAAACTTGAGCAGAACTAATTTTACTACCTAATTCTTCTCCACAAACAAAGTATCTAAATAACAGTACTTTCTGTTGACTAAATTTTTTAAAAAAACTTTAAAGTGGTAATGCTAAACCAACTCAGCTAATAACAAGTTCTATTTTTGCAGACCTTATTTCTCAATACATATAATAAAATATCTACTCTGTTTATGCAAGTAAAAAAAGATTCTTTGCCGTTAGAAAAACTCCCATTTAAAAAAAGATCGTTAAAAAAAAATTAAGAAATTTTGATGGTAAAGTAAATTGTTTTATGATAATTGCCCTCTTACTTGTTTTTCTATAATCGTGATATAGAAGATACTTCATTGCATTCCATTGCCTGTATTTGCTTATGAAGTAAATTTAACTAATTCTCTTCTGAAGGAATATTATACTTTATACTTTAAGGAATATATACTTTAAGGAATATTATACTTTATTATTAATTATTTCAGTTACTATAATTTCTATTCAAAACACTTTAATTTTTGCTTAAAATAACGTGTACTGTTTTCTGTTCTGCAAAATGCTAAATTCAGAAAATTCAAAATTTTATCGGACTGCTGAACGGAAACCAATCCGAAACTTTCACCTGTGCGTCCCAGAAAATATCTCTTCATCGAAATGTGTACTTTGAATAGGAACTAGTTTAAAAAAATTTTTACTTTTAATAGCATTTTAGTTTTAACAAATTTAATATTTTTTTAAATAATTTTTCTTTAAAGCATTCTACTTTATTTGAGAATGAATCTTGTAATCATTTTTCACAACATTTGAATATTTTTTATTTTTAAT